TTTAAGGAGTTGAATGAGACCCACTTGCATATATATCTTTATCCTATGAGTCTTACTAGTATGACAGGATCGTGTAGATTGTTATGCTACAGGACTCCGGTAGAAGTCGAGTGATTGCCTGTCACTCGCGAGATATAGGAAATATGTTACTATATGATTATCACTTGGAATATATATAAATGGTGAAAAGGAAAAATGGTGACTGGGCAGGGATATGGTTTGGGTATTGGTGGGTGTAAGAGGTTGTGTCGCCATGGACACGGGGCATGGCCTGGTTACACTGCTTTCCCTGTCTGGTCGGTTAAGGACCGATCGTTGCATGACTCTAGGCAGGTCACAGACTTATTATCCCTAGCACATACTTGTGTATGGGCGCTTGGAAGACTTGTTGCTCTCTTGTCGCGGATCCGGCTCTTTCCGGACCGACTGTCAGGGTTTTTTTTTGGTGGAGGAGGTCCTTGCACCGCACTGAGTCCGCGACTCAGGGGCGGGGGCTTGGAGTCCCAGTTTGGACGGGGACCTGGACACCCGGGACAGGAGAGTGATGGGTTGGTCCTGCTTGTGCCTGGGGTACAAGCGGGGCGTGTGTTTTCGGGGTACCCAGCTGGGGGCATTGATTCGCGAATCGCCGAGCGATCCGGTACGGCTTGTCTATGGTTTAGCATCGTAGTAAGAACTGAAAGATGAAAGATGGAAGATGGACAAAGGAAGTCTGATTGCTTACCACCTGCTTGAAAGTAGTACAGGTGATCACATAGAATGGTTAGTTAATGAACCAATGCGGCTATTAATAAAAATAAAAAATAAGGACGCACGCTTAGTAATGCTTCCTGTAAATGCAACCCACAAGCCAGATAGCCTTGCATATCCTTGGAGTCTTTTATTTTCTCCTGTCGGGTAAGTCTTGCTGAATACAATTGAGTACTCAGGGTTTTATTCCCCCTGTTGCAGGTAACTGGTGGAGGCTTGAGCTGACCTTTGTGTGTGGATTCCTCCTGGTGGGCTCAGAGAGGATTTTCTTTACGCTGCGATCGTAGTTGTTATTTATAACTCTCACCAAATGCTTTTATAAATAGAAGTTTAATAATCTGTTGTCGTAGTTTATATATCAATACTTTATCATGTCATTAATAGAGGTTTATTTCCGCTGTAACTCTGATCACATGTTTATATTCCGCTGTTCAATTAAATTGTTTACAACTCTGATAATATGATTTCATTCCGCTGTTATGTTAATAATTATTATACTCTGATGTTGTATTAAAAGTGGTGTAAGAAATGGTTCAAAATGATGTAAGCTTTATTCTCTCATTTGTGATCCTGATGGCAAAAATGTGGATTTTCGGGTTCTCCCTTGGGGTGTGTCCGACGGAACCGAGTAATTTAGTGTTCTCCCTTGAGTGCTTAGTGTCTAATGGAAGACAAGCACTCCTGTGAGGCATTAGATTAGGCGGTTCTGCCACATAGATGGTTGCAAGAAAGCATGAGTACAGAAGTTACCCACGAAGCTCTACCAGTTGACCAGGAATTTAGCACGGCCTATGATGAAAAGGCCCTATCAACTTCTGGGGTAGATCCGACGAGAGAAAAAAGGACTTTCGGAATTCATAATCATACAAAAGAAACACAAAAAATCTATGTCTTCACCGGTTGCCCCAGAAGGTATTGATATTTTCTCTTTGATGGATTAACCTAGAAAAACTGCTAACTATTGTTGTATACTTTAATTTAATCCTCTTTTTTAGATTATGTTTGTACCAATACTGATAGAGCCATAATTGAATCTGTAAAAAATTCCATCTTCACCTGGGAATGAGAAGCTTGTGCTCATAGATCATGTTCTGGTGTCGAGAAACCACATGGAATGTCTTTTTCAGCCATATGAATACTTGTCTGACGAGGTAACAAATGCAAGTCATAATACTCAATTAAACATTGCCAACTTCAATGCTCTTTCTCTCTAATGGCGAAATGTATGTAGGTCATAGATGCTTATATTAAATTGCTGAAGGCCCAGGAGGATTTGAAAAAGAGGCCAAGAGGTACAGTCTATCTTGAAACTGCGTGCTTAGTTGCAATTATGAAGCGGGATGGAGAAAATGATGAGATCATTGAAGCCAATTACCCTAACCATGGCACTTCACAACGTCCTGGTTTAGTTCAAAGGGTGCTAGCTTACTTGAAGCATGACATGGTAGCAATTTTTTTAAACGATCTATTGGTCTTTCATTATCAATTTTTATGCCTAGCAAAATGTTTATTGTTTGATTTGATATGTGTTCCTTTCAATAAATGTTACAAAAACACATTGGTACCTTGCTGTTATAAACGTCGTCAAACGTGAGGTTTAGGTGCTAGACTTTGTGGGCGAGATGTTCGAACGTGTTGACCTCAATAAAATTGTGGGTATTTTCTAACACAGCTATTTGTACACATTTTATATTTTAGAAATGCTGATTGAATCGTTCTTCTATGAACAAATAGCGAGGTGGATTGCAGAAACAGATATATTTCATATTGGAGGAGGCAGGCCCGAAAGAGCACAAATGGCTAGATGTTGAGGTTGATACCTGACCGATTAGAGATATTTTTCGTGGCAAATTATTACAAACAGATGGATACGTCAGAAATAATGGCATTTATATAAGATGAATTTTATGTGTCTTTGCCTTTTTATCTAATGTGAGCTTGAACCTCTATTAATGTTGTATATAGTTTTTCATGCGGTTTGTTCTTAATAAACTTTATGGAGTATTGGACTAGGAACGATTTGTCAGATGAGTTTAATCAAGTAAACTATGCGTCTTACCACAAGTTATGAGTGTGCACTAGCTGTGGGTTTTTAATTAATAATTAATTAGGTTCATATTATCGTGCAGGATGATATGAAAGAATTTAGATTGAAGCTTGCGATGATCTTGCTATCGTCAGAGTTAAACAAACGAAAGGGTGCTCCATATCTTGATAGGAATAAAAATATTGGAGGCCCAAACGACTGTGCCATAATAGAGAATCCAAAGATGGCTGATCAAGTGTCCACGAAAAAGAGAAAATATTATGAGGAAGCCGAATGCTTAGTGGTTCAAACGGGCACCCCTCAACACATACAAACTCAAAATAAATCCCCAGAAGTCCATGCCAACCAAGACCCTGATGAGTTTTGGGCATTTGAGGTCATGAAAGACATGCCAATGAATAACGAAGAGATGACTGAGTTACTGTGTGATTATGTCGTGGCAATTCAGGATGAAGCGACATTGAAGTAAGCTACATGTTTATTTTAATTACTTTATTTACTAATAATAGTGTGATATCTTATATGACGAAAACCATCATCTATGTCTAATGCTTTGCATAATGCCTTGGGTTAAAGGTTTTCATCCCTCCATGATTGCCCTAAGTGTCAAGGACCTACAAGAGTTAATGAACAATCGAAACATCTCTGAGAACTGTTTCAACTTATGTGTCTATTTTTAGGCAGCTCGAGAGTACAATACAATGAAAAAATATAATAGTATTACGAAGCATCATATGGACCTGAGATTCTGTGTAAGCATATTTTTAAAATTCTTATCGTGCTATATTATATTATCTTATTTGTTGTTCTCCTAATTATATAAAGTAGGCCAAGTTATACTAATTCTGACTCTCGATATCATTCTCTTTCAGAAAATGTGTGCTTTAACAAAAATGTCAGAATACCGTAAAAAATACACTAAAAAAGAAATGGCTGCTGCGATTGGTGTATGTGAGGATATGGAATACAGCTTAGTACAATATAGATATGTAAGTTGCTTGCTCCTGCTTTTATTACTTGTTTTCTATATACTATTCTAAACGCTACCATGTTTGTAGTTTTTTTACCATGGTTGCACGTTCAAAAGTATATGCTTTATGTTTTCGATCAGAAGGAGAAGATGCTTATCATGATTGATCCTAGACCTATTGAAGACTGGTGTAAAGACACACTAGCGCTAATGTATGCCAGGTACAATCTTGGATTTACCTTGCAGTACACAGACGCAGTGAATGTACATATTCCTGGATGGAATAAAGATGTCTTCAAATGAAAATTTAGACAGGAAGGAAACATTGCAGAGGACATAGATGGATAACTAACGTAGAGTCACTCTAGCTTGCAATAATAATACCTACGATTTAACTATTTCTATATATCGTTGATCGTGAATCTTGCCACAGACACTTAAGTGGATATCTTATTCTACATTATATGTTTACGTGGAATAGATCAAAAGCCACACATATTTATACGGTGAGTATAACACTTTGTTTTAAGTTTTTGTGGAAGATTTTTCAAGAGATGCGGTATTACCCATGTGACAGCCACTAATATTGACATATATACTCGAGCCTGTGTACAGGATGGTATGAAGATGCGACGGAACTTATTCGTGGATTTATTGGCGCACGAAAGAAATAGATATCGGAGATTTCTTTCTGCCGATATAAAGCATTATCTTAGGCGCATCATGGAAAGGTCTATAAAGTAGAGTTTATAAGCCTGTGATGCCGCGCTCTCCGTGACTGTTAATTTCATAAACTTTGATTTTTGGATTAACTGTAACTTTAACGTTGTTATTTAATTTATAGTATTGTTATCTTATCGTGCGATCCATATATTTTTAGTACAAAAGTTTAGTTATCCCGTAGCAACGCATGGGTACACTACCTGCTAAATAAAAAAGACAAAGACAGAATCGCCTTCAAAATGGCTTATAAAAGGTCAGGGAGATAAGATGAACGGTTTTAAAAGTTAAGAGGGGTGTTTTGTTCGGTTTTGGAGTTTAGGGAGAAAAACAAATTTTTACGAAAGTTGAGGAGATAATATGGACTTTTTCATTTTATTTTGCCCCCAATTAATCGTAGCCGCGTGTTTGCTGGTCACACTATCTGTACAAGGCAAACTGGCAAGTGGTGGCAACGAGCAAGTTTGGAGAAACTAGTGGCTTTGCTCACCGGCGAGCTCGGAAAAAAATCGCATGGCGTTGCAGCACGCCAGTCCAGCTAGCTCCACACTGACCACTGGCCGTCATGGCCGGAGCTCCGCAGCCGTCCTCCGTCGGCCACCGACGGACTCTAGCAGCCGTCTGAGGGTGCAGGCGCAGTCGCAGAAGCCCACCGCCGGGTCCCGTGGTGGCGCGGGAGCCGAGACGACCGCGACGTCGTCCTCCTCACTCTCGGAGACGCCGTCCTCAAGGCCGCCTGGTACGGCTCCGAGCTCCTCGGCATCGCCGCGTCGCTGTTCCGGCCCGCGCCGTCGTCGTCGTCGTCTCCGGAGGGGGACGCTGGCGGTGCCGGTGATGTAGAGGGAGGCGCGGCGGCGGCCCTGGACGGCGCGGGAGTGGTCGAGGCCGTCAAGGCGGACTTCGCGCGGTCCTACTTCGTCATAGATCTGAATCTTCTCTGATGAACTGACGAACGATTGATGGCATGCGTGGTAGAGCTTAGTTCTCTGAGGATAGAACACGCGTGCGCGTTTTGGTTCGTTTCGCACGCAGGGGATCTCACGCTGAGAGCTTACGAGGAGGACTGCGAGTTCGCCGATCCGGCGGGCTCCTTCAGAGGCCTGCGGCACCAATTTTGGGTCTCTGCTCGAGAAATCGAACATGAAGCTCACCAAATGGGAGGACCTGGACCTGGAGGTACGTACGAACTGCATCTCCAGCAACCAAGTTTATAACTTTGTAATTTGTAATGTGGCGATGTTAATCATTGGTGGTTAAAAAAACAAACAAACAAAAATCCACTGATTTGTGCCGCTCCTCGTTGCATCCGGTTGCAGGACAAGTCTATCGGGCACTGGCGTTTCAGGTGCGTCATGTCGTTCCCGTGGAGGCCTATCTTGTCAGGTGATTCCTGTTTATTTCATGTCCGATTTGTATGCTTATTCCTTAGTGGTCCATTCAAGCCGTTGCTCGGTTCTCCGGCTGCGTTCGCTTTCTTTGATTTATTGTGAGAAAAAGAATGACTAAAGATGCTTGGTTGGTTGGTTAATTTTTAAATGCGAGAAAAATACTATTCGATTTTTTCGATGAAATAAGTCACGATTAAGTAAGAACGAGCTGAATGCTCGTAGGGCGAACGGACCTATATATTTGCACCTGTCCTGACATGGTGTTTACTGACATCCTGCCGTTTCAGCAACCGGGTACACGGAATACTACTTCGATGCTGAATCAGGGAAGGTGTGCAGGTACTGAAAACTTCGATACAGTTCTGTTCAGCGATCCTATTTAGGGCTCAGGAGCATCCAAGCATATTTGTAGCTAGCCGCTCGATAGATAGATGTTCTATACGCGTATGTGGCGAGGACTGACAAGCCCCTCTTGTGAATCCAGGCACGTAGAAAATTGGAACGTTCCAAAGATGGCGCTCCTGCGGCAGATTTTCAGGCCGAGCCGAAGGGTCTGGGAGGGGCCCGGCCGCGCGGTGTTGGGCCTGTTGGCTCACGCGCCCAGAACCTGAGCCTCCCTTTCTGCATGTGGGCTCTCACAATACCATGGTCCACCCGTCACCAAGTCATGTTGGAAATTCGCTCGCACGAGCGGCGCAGAGGCACGACGAGGCGCATAATTAGCGGACCGTCGAAGGCGTGTCGATCCATCCTATGGTATTCGTCCCCACTCCAGCCTGTGGCGTCGGCGGCGATGCTCCGGTCTGCTGCCCGCTCGCTCCGGCTCCGGCTCCGGCTCCGGCAGCCCCTGGAGCAGCAGCGGTGCCTTCTGGCAAGGCAATTCCTCAGCAGCTCCGTACCCACCGAGGTAAGGAATCTCCTCCTCCAGCCTCCTCTTCCTCCTTGTTATTCGGGCTCGACTGGTTAGGGTTTGTCGAGATAGGCGACCTGAACTGAACTGAACACCACGGCTGTTGTTTGGGCCCAGGAATTACGGATCTGTGGAATTAATGGCGCATGCTAATTTAGTTGGACCCAATCACCTGAATTGTCCACCTGCTGTCTTAGATTAAGAAAGGTGGTTCTTTTGGGGCTTTGCTTGAATTCCGTTTGACTGATTGCCAAATTTCTTTGGTCGCGTTTAACTGCAACTCAGATCCGTCTTGTCTTGTTTCTATTTGGCTGCAGCCCCGGTGTATTAGTTAGTTTTAGGGTTAGGATTGGGTTTGCCCAGGAAGGGAAGCTGGGGCTGGCTGGCATGGCCACTGCGGTTTATTGGGTCAAATCCATTTGGCCCAATCTAGCTTCCTTAGCAAACCCTAACTATAAGACATGAAATTGCTGGCCCCTTCACTCCCGTCCCTCACACACGCCACACCTCCCTCCTTTCTCTCTCACCGCCATGCTCTATCGGCAGGGCTTGCGTGGACCACCACGCTCCATCAGCGGCGGCTGCGGGGGCTGGGGCCGAGCCCCTCCAGCAGCGGCGGTGGCATGAGGCTCGCGACGGCCGACACAGATCAAGGGCGGCATCTGGGCTTGTGGCCCGAGATCTAGGACCGGGCTGTGACGTGTGCGGATCCGACAAGGAGCGGTGATAGCGCACGGATTGGGCGAGCAGCGGTGGCAGCGTGTAGATGGGCTTGAAGGGCCTCGTGGATGGGCTCAGCAGGCCGCATTGATAGGCTCGCTGATTATTTATTTATTTAATTTATTAACAGAGGCAGGTATTATTTCCGCCTCTATAAATTAGGATTTACAATGACGCGGAAGTAGAGACGGACACCTGCCCGCCTCCATTAACACTTTGACCGCCTCAGAAAATTCTTACGGTAATAGTAGTGGATGGTAGACCAACAGCTGTCCTGTGTGGGCCAACTAGAACCAGCGAAGCTGTCACCGCTAGGGGCGGAGGGAGGGTGGGGCTGAAGAGGGCCAAGCCCCCCCTCCCAATGGTAGATGAATTTCTCTTATGCACATGTTATTTTGCTATATAATTAAGCGAAAACATTGATGCACATGTTATTTTGCTATATAATTAAGTGAAAATATTTATGCACATGTTATTTTGCTATATAATTAAGTGCACTAAGTCTTCTTGGTTATGTGAAATCTCGGAATTTCTACGCCATTTCCATTTCATGTTTGTAGCAATGCTAATGCACAAATGATACACAAAGTATAAGCTTCTATAATAGTATAATTTCAGTAATCCTCCACTTCAATTCTCTTCCTCACTGTTCTGATTTACTTGCAGACACTAGGCCTCCTAAGGAGTTCTACACATGTCAGAAGCTACAGCAGTCAACTTTCTGGTTATTACTCTGACTACCCCTATTTTTAGTATTTGATCTCAAGTATTGACTATAATACATGCGTTTTTCTCCAGCTTTGATTCCAGCTACTTCCCAATGCTCAAATCTGACAAGGTAAATATCAGATAGCTGCTCTAGTTGATGAATATAGATGTCATTACTAACCTCATGCCAAATATTTTTACATCTGTCTCCCTTTTTATACATGTATGTATTACATTATTGTAATATTGTAATTGAATTTTGTAGAAAACGTTGTTACTTACCTAATTCCTCTCTGTACCAAGTCTGGAGTAGGTCATTTGCTTCAGACAACGGTAAGGCACAATAGCCTTTTGAGGCGGATAGTGTTTGACAAATGTGTTCCTTGTTATGCGTTTATAAAGTTATGTTTTTCGTTCTATATAGGAGACAAGTTTGAGGCTGTTGTGCCCTTCATGGGTGAATCTGTAACTGATGGAACTCTTGCTAACTTCTTAAAGAGTATGCCCCCCCTTTCTCTCTCTCTCCTTCCCTGTGATAACATTTTCTTTTTCTTATATACAGAACCTGGTGACAGAGTCGAGGCCGATGAACCCATAGCGCAGATTGAAACTGATAAGGTATTGGAGGCTTCTGTTTGAACATTAGTGGAACTTCGTATTTGCTAGTGGCCATAACCACATGACTTTTCCTTTTGTTCCAGGTCACTATAGATGTTGCAAGTCCTGAGGCTGGTGTTATTGAAAAGGTGAATTGTTTTACTCCTTCCTAGCTTCCAGTCTACTTTCATGGCAATGCTTTACCTTTACTCTGCAGATGTCAGGAATACACACTCATATACCATGCTTATCTGCTCGTTAACAGGATCAACAGCTGTTCACATACTAAGTGTTGCTATTTCTGACTGTTGTTTACAGCTCATTGCTAGTGAAGGTGACACAGTTACTCCCGGCACTAAAGTTGCAATCATATCCAAGTCTGCTCAACCTGCTGAAACACATGTTGCTCCATCTGAGGAAGCAACTCCAAAAGAATCATCACCGCCTAAAGTTGAAGAGAAACCAAAGGTAGAAGAAAAAGCCCCAAAAGTTGAACCTCCCAAGATGCAAGCACCAAAGCCAACTGCACCATCAAAAACGTCCCCTTCAGAACCACAGCTCCCTCCAAAAGAACGAGAGCGGAGGGTAAGGCCAATATTATCCAATTACAGAGTTCAGATGTTGTTGAAGGACATGCACATATTTTACCATGATATTGCAGGTGCCGATGCCAAGGCTCAGAAAGCGTATTGCAAACCGGCTTAAGGATTCTCAGAACACCTTTGCAATGCTGACTACATTTAATGAAGTTGACATGTAAGTGTTCTCACGTATTCCTTCCAGTAGATTGCTACAGCAGATTTCTGTTTGATCAGTTTATATTTGTGCTCCTGTCATCATTGCAACTGTATAAAATGGTGATACCTGTTTCTGTCTTACCATATTTTAAGCAGTTCAAAGATGTGGCCTGTATTCAGGCAATAAAGAATGTAATCTGTTGAGCTACATGGCAATATATTGATCACTTATCCCTACCTATCACCCTGAATTAACAAACATGTGCTAACCTATGTTAGATGAAAATATATATGATTATCCTCTATATGTATGAATGCTTATAGAACTTAGTTTTTTTTTTATTCAGTAACACTGACAAAAAAATCCTGTCATTTATTGGGCAAATATCTGGTGTGTCGTTGTGCGGCTCAACTTATTTATGTTCTTTTATATGTGGACTTCAATAATAATTATCTTTTGGCATGCCATTATGATTCCTTGAAGGCTGTATTGGTGTTTTTTTTTATCTTATGATTTTATGATGCAGGACCAATTTGATGAAGCTTCGTTCTGATTATAAAGATGAATTTGTCACAAAGCATGGTGTCAAATTGGGCCTAATGTCTTGCTTTGTCAAGGTACTTGCCAGTCTGTGTTGCAAAGTTTTTGCACCGAACATTTATATGGCTGGCTAATTCTATTTATTTTGGCAGGCTGCTGTTTCTGCACTTCAAAACCAACCAATTGTCAATGCTGTCATTGATGGTGATGACATCATATACAGAGACTATGTAGACGTCAGTGTTGCTGTTGGCACGTCCAAGGTACCATATTGCTTGCTTGCTACTCTGTTGACTGCTGTCTCATCTTCTTTCTTGTACCAAAAAAAGCCAAAATGGCCTATAGTTTGGGATGGAGGGAGTATTTACTATGTATATAACTAATTGGAATCTTTTTCAGGGCCTTGTGGTTCCTGTTATCCGGGATGCTGATACCATGAACTTTGCTGACATTGAGAAAGGGATAAACAACCTTGCAAAGAGGGCAACTGAGGGGGCGCTCTCAATTGATGACATGGCAGGAGGAACATTTACCATCTCCAATGGTGGTGTCTATGGAAGCCTCATCAGCACACCTATCATCAACCCCCCACAGGTAACTGCTGCACATTTATCAGTAGTGACACATTTTGTAACATGCAGATGTTTATTGATCTGAAATGTGATCTATGTGAATTGCAGTCGGCAATTCTGGGGATGCATTCCATTGTGCAACGCCCTGTGGTTGTGAATGGTGACATCCTCGCGAGGCCAATGATGTACCTCGCGCTGACATACGACCACAGGCTGATCGACGGCAGAGAGGCTGTCTTCTTCCTGCGGCGCATCAAGGATGTGGTCGAGGACCCCAGGAGGTTGCTGCTTGACATATAAATTCATGCACAAGCGCTCCCCTGCCAGACTGTTTTGTGCTTATCAGGAAATAATACCATGCAAATTTTTGACTGGTGAAAAAGAATTACTTCCTCAGGAAGACAAAATCTGAGCTGAGGATACCGTGAGGTTTTTCTCTATATAATCGTAGAAGAGAGCAGCAAACTCAACTCAATGTGAGGTCATGTTTAATTTTCGGGATGTTCCATTTCGGGATGCAGTTCCCAGTCGTTTTTATTTACCATGCAAGAGTAATAGAGGCTGCTGCAGTTTTGTTTGTTGGTTCACAATTTCGCCTCCAGCTAGCCAGTCTGCAACTAAGGAGTCTGGGTTGTATAACATGTGACGTTAAAACGGTGCTCCAATCGCTCGCTTTGTTGAATGGTCTCGACGTTTGCTTTTTTTACTCTAGCTGTCACGTTTCCTGTGGCTACACGTCCATCTAGGGCCTGTTTGGGATGGAGTAAAACCAAAGGAAAAGTGGATGAATCGAGTCCAGAGGAAAGGTCTGAATCGAGTCCAGAGGAAAGGTCTATAGGGTGTTCGCTTTGAGGAATGGTAGTCTATTTTCTTTTCTTATTTTGTTTGGTTTAAGGAATGAAATGGATTGGTGTACCATCACCTCGTTTCTCATAAACTTACTAAGGAATAAAGTCATTTCACCAAATATAATGCATCATCTTATTAGAATGATTTGATTTCTCCGACCACACCCTCTATTAGAGAATTGTTTGTCCCGAATGGAGGAATGAGTTTGGTCAAGAGGAAAGGAAAATTGTTGTTTGGAAGGGAGTACCGAGTCTCTGTTCGAGAGGAAAGGAAAGCTCTCCTTCACCAAACAGAGGAAGTCAAACATCCGCTGTGAGCTCTGGTTTTTGCCGTTGAGTTCTCGCTCTGCAGGCTTGCACCTGCTGCTGCCAATGAATTAGGTCCAGCTCTCATTGACTTGTGGCCACTGAAGCTACTCCTGCTTCTTTCTTTCTTTTTTAAGCTTTTGAGGAAGATAGCGATCTGAGACAAGGGTGAGTACCAGTGGATAATATAGACTCTGTTCGCTTGAGCTTATCAGTTAGAATCAGTCCTATTTTTCAGCCATGGAAACTATGTTTTTTTCTCACAACAAATCAGCCATATAAATCAGTCGCAGCAACAATAAGTCCTGCAGATAAGGGCCATAAATCACAAGGACTGACTGTGGGCCCCTATAGGGGCCATGGTTCACCATTCACACATTAAATTAGTTATGTTTAGTTAGATTTAGTAGATGATATTCACAATTCATGTTTCAAAGTTCATTTTCAATCCCCGTGATCCAAACCCATTTCTATGTTTTTTATGTATTTTTAATTCTCTTTCTTCATACTCAACTCCTGTATTCTCTACCATCTCTCTGTTTTTCAATCTTTTATTCTAGAGCCTATTTGGAGCAGATGAATGGAAAGAGCACATGAATATGATGAATGAGAAAAGGCAAAGGAATATGATGTGGGTACGTTATGCCAGTATCAAAACTTTTAGGGCATGTTTGTAACGGAGGAATGGGAAAGTATAGAAACGTGACGAGGGTACAATATCAAAATGTAGGATTGATAAATAGAGAAACAAGAGTGAACATAAGAATGTAAGGAAGGTATAAGAATCAAACATAGTATTGAAAAAAAAACAGAATAGACAAATGAGATGTTTGGAACATAGGAACTCCAATCCAGAAATCAGAAAACATGCATAAGATTAAAAACATTAGTGCTTAATACAAGATTGATTATGTTCATTTTAGCACATTTATACAATAGATTTTAGTTGGTCAGGTCAGAGTTATCTTTATATATATATTTTGGTGGTTTTTTTTGTGAAAGTACCCTCCTTATTTCTACTTTGTTCTCATACGGTCATCCGTTTATCTCCAAGCTCTCTTTCCTTGCTCCCTCTCCTCTCGGCCACAGACAGAGAGGCCATAGTTGCACGGCCACACCTCTCTCTTCCACCAGACCACCACCCTCCTTTCTATCTCTACACCACGGGCTTGCCTCGTCCGTGAGCGAAACTTTGGCTTGTGACGAATTTATTCCTGTGTTTTGTGCAAGAAACCAAAGCTTTCTTTTTTTTCTCGAATACGCAAAAGATTTGCGTATCATTGTAATTAAGAAGAAGAGTTTAACCATATAAACGACACGCTTCTGAAGAGCGCGCTAGGTGGTCTCACAGCTATTATTGGACCAACCTAGCAAATTGTTACAAACTTCGATATATACATAAATGGTATACAACCAAACTAAGAGCACCGCGGCAACCTAAGGAGCTGGGCGTCGCCGCTGCTGGTTGCACGACCCTCCTCCGCCATCCAAGAAGAGCGCTCTTCTACCCGCTCTACTGTTGGTCGCTGGGAACAGCTTGTCCAGAGCTACCACGCGGCTCGGCGTCAAGTTCCCTGCGAATATGGCATCATATGTTCCCATGGACGCAGACGACACTGGAGCTGCCGGCAGCACAATGCCCATCCTCTGCATGAGGAGTACCTCGCCCCACTTGGAGGTCGGTATGTGCGCCAGCGGCTGCGCGGCAATCCGTCTGCTCCTGATTGGCAGGGACCTTTTGGTTGCCGCCTTCTGCCGTGGTGGAGTGGCGATTAAGGGCGACCTTCGCTTGAGGTGCACCTCCTCGGTAAACCGTGCGAGACACCGAGCGGCCTCGCGCGGCGTGGACGTCGCGTCGCTGGGGTCGGTCGTGGCTTGGCTATCCTGCTGGCCGTCCTTCGTCGGCGTAGAAGGGTCGGGTGTGGCTTGTTCGACTGAATGGCCATCCTGCGTCGGCGTAGAAGTACACGCCATGTGCTTGGCCGGCTCGAACCCAGGTGACCAGACCTCACCAACCTCCCCAGGCGCCACGGCACTCGCGAGAACGGACGGTCCCATCAGCGAAGGCGTGTCCTGCACAGGCGACGACAGAGGCGGATCCATCGCGCACCGAGTAGCCATCACCGGAGAATTGGTGACCACCAACGAAGCTTGAACCTCCTAAGGGGCGGATGCCATAGCATGCAGGCACCCAGGCATCGGAGTGGCCGCTGGCCGGCTCGCGACGAGTAAGGTGGCAAGCTCGTCTAGCATCGGGTCAACCGAGACGAGCCAAGTGGGAGGGTCTACGCCCACGCACAGCCTCCGCCAGCGGATCTGGCTCGAGGAAGCAGCGTCGAAGGAGAGGTGTCGTTGGTGCGGCAGGAGCGCCCATGCTGATGTTCGTCGCTGGCTCACCCCTGCGCCGCCGACGTCGTCTCCGGCATCGACAGTTGCCGTCGGCACCCCCCACGCCCCCTGTGTGGTCCTGTCCGAGGTCGGTGGGCTGCTGAGGGGTGCATGCTGGGAGGCCGGTGGGTTGTCAGCACTGATTTGAGTGGCGAGGCAGGCCACCACCCTTCATCGCCGACTTGGACGGCTTGCAATCCCTTGCGAGGTGGCCGAATCCACGGCACCGCAGGCAACGGCGTGGCAATCGGCAAGTCGTTATTCGATGCGAGTAGGAGAGGCAGTTGAAGCATCTGTCACGGAGCTATGTGGGGATCTTCCGAGCAGCTGTGCGCGGACCTGGGCCACGGCGGGGCTTAACTGAGATAGCTGCAGGTGCCGCCTCCTGTCGAGGTAGGATCTCCCACCACCCATCGGCGTTGGGGGCAGAGACCCTTCTGCGGGCGCTGAGGCGTCGGTGGGCAGGGATCCGACCGAATCCATCGGACGGAAGCGGCAAGTCTTGCACCGCGCCTAGGGGGGCGCGCCCGTTGCGCTCGCCTTCGCCGCGATAGGTCTCGTCCGCGTCCACTCTGTCGCGCCCCAGAACCACGACTAAACGAGTCTGGGCGCGCACGGAGGACGCAATGGCTGGCTTCGCCTGGTGACGAGTGGCCTCCAGGTAGGTCGCGGGGTGGTCATCATCGGTCTCCTCGCCATCGTCGCCCGCCCATCGCCGGCTCTTCGTACGCCCTCCCGAGGAGCATCCTGGGAAGAACGGTGCGCCATTTTTTTTGTGTGTGAAAGGAGGAGCTAGGGCGCTTCGGCGACGCCGCAAAGCGCGCCTAGATGCTCTAACCATTGTATATGGCGTAGGGCGTGAGTGCGGCGACATTGGCATCCAGCCCCATCGGCGGATTTGAGGGGGCGATTAAGCGCCGCTCTATCTTTGCTGGGCCTCGCCGCCGTCGGTCGTCGCGTCGGTGGCGGCGTCCTCTCAACAACGAGACGCCTTCGAGCCTCCGGTGGCGTTCCAATGAAGGGCTGAGCGAAGGAGAGAGCTGGACGGCGAACTGCGGCTAGGTTGCCGCGACACCGGGCTCCACTCCGTCGGGCGGGTCGACGGATCAACGCTTTGGGCGCCGGACCGCGTTAGAGGCAGCGCGGTGGCTCCTTCCGGCCCCGGCAGCGGATGGGGCGGGGGCGCTCCGGATCTAGCCTCCATGCCCGTTGCAAGAATAGCAACCTTTATGAGCTTGGCGGCCGTCGTGGTCCGTGGCTGGCGCAGGAGTTGGGGATCGCCGGTGCCAAAGGCGGCATCCAGGGAGCTCGGAGGTGGCGACGTCTGCCCCTGGTGGCGCACGGACCGTGGAGAGCGTGGTGGCGTCGGAGCGTCGCAACTTTGAGGGAGAGAGGAATGGAAGGGTTGACGCGTGGTGGGGGAGGAGGAGGAGGTGTGGCAAGGGGCTTAGCACCAAGTGTTGGCTGCCGGGGCTAGCTCTTAAGCGCCGTGCGAAAAAGATGGTCCGCGACGGGAGGGGCTGAGGCGCCTCCAGATCTCAGGGGGCCTGTCCAAAACTACTCGTGGTGGCATACAGTAACCATGGGGGAGGGGTGGGAGGGTGGGGAGTGGGGGCGGGCGCTGGCGCTGGTGGCGGCCAGCGCCACCGGCGGCGGTGGGGGAGAGGCCATCAGCGCCTCGGCCCGAGGGTTCGGCAGGAGTGGAGCCGCAGTCCTTCGGTTGTGTAAACACTTCTCAAAGCTTTCCTTTTGAATAGG